TACAATAATATATATACCTGCCGCATTCGTTTAAATGACTGTCTCGAAAAAAAGTATCAAATACTCTGAATATGCACACGGTTTCTATTCATAATGCCTATACGCCATTCGCGATGCACGTTTCCATTTCTGGGCGGCAGAAATTGACCACATCGATGCACCAGCCTGAAACCACGTGGGCAACAGGGACGCCGTGTCGTCATGGGTTCTTAACTGCTGCCAACGTATTTGATTAAATTCAATTGTAATGATCGAATCTGTTTTGCGATATTTTTTAATAAATTCGATCGTATTCGATTGAATTTCATCGAATTTCTTTGTTTTGGGATACTTTTTTTAATAAATTCGACCGTATTTGATTGAATTCCATCGAATTTGTTTGTATTTTCATCATAAATGACTGAAATTGATTGTAACTTTCACGAATTTCCGGAGAAATTTCAGAAAATTTTCGGAGAAATGTTGGAAAACTTTCGGAGAAATTCCGGAATACTTTCGGAGAAACTTCGGAGAACTCTCGGAGAACTCCCGGAAAACTTTCGGAGAACTCTCGGAGAACTCCCGGAAAACTTTCGGATAATTTTCGGAAAACTCTAGGGGAATTTTCGGAAAACTTCCAGAGAAATTTCGGAAATTCTCCGAAAATTTTCCGGAATCTCTCCGAAAGTTTTCCGAAAATTCTAAAAAAAATTCCTAAAATTGTCCAGAATTTCCGAAAATTTCCCAGAATTATCGAAAATTATAGAAAATTTATGAAAAACTCGGAAATCCTCGAATATGTTTTAAAATTCTCGAAAATGTTCTAAGATATCCAATATTAATGAGAATTTATGAAAAATTCTAAAACTTGTTCATATATTACACATATAAGAAACCAAATTGAATATCCTTTATACATATCCTAATAATTTTTAAGTACCTAATAAATCCCTATTGCTGTGGACATCATCAAGCGCGTACAGTGTGAACACACGGGCGGACACGTGCACATGGCTGAACTTATGTGCAACTTTTTTTTATATATGACATGTTTTTTTTTTCGGGAAACTCGAGATTACTGTTAAATTACTGATTGCTTGCATCGAACCAATTTTGCCGGTTCGTGACTTGTGCTGCATACCTCAGTACTTAAAAACTACATTTGTCATGAATTCCCTTGCTTGAAAAATTCATCAGGCAAAATAAATAACATAGCTGGAAAGACTGTAAGAGAAACAGAGATATTCTGGATGGACTAGCAACCAAACCAGTGTTTACCAAAAGTTTGCACTACAAAAACATATAAGGCATCAAGGTCAACTGCAGAAAAGAGTGTTCGACACAAATCACAAAATGACCCAACTCGTCAGCTTATGATAATCCACTTTTCCTTATCCTGAGCCAGATCAATCCAGTCCATATCGCAGATCCAGGCGTGCTGCTTAATAAATTAAACCCGGCGAAAACTTTCCCTTCAGAGCTACAGAACAGATGGAATAAGGGACGATTATGTTTGGCCTCAAAACTTCAACGTAAGAAGAATCGTATGTGCCGTAAGCACTCCTTGAAGTCAGTGTTTAAACGTACGTTAATTTGACCCACTTGTTGTCTCCATTGTTAAAAAGGGGAGACCTCACATTGTTACGCAGGAAACAAGCCCCAGTCCAAGGACAACGCACGTATCAGCAATTACGGGACCGTAACTCGAAAAGCGAGTTAGGTCACAATGCTACACACATTACCAGCGCCATAACAGCACTACTGACGCTACTGACACGCTGCTAATGACATGGCCCGAAGGGTAAAAAATCAGGCAGGTATAATTCTGTCTCTACACACTCAAGGCCAATGAAAGATCGTGCAAAACTGCGAGCACAAGGAGCGACGGCGAGAGCAACTGTACTTAGTTATCTGTTCATCCAACAGATGGTGGCTGAGTACTAAATTGTAACCCCGCGCTTGCTCTACTATTTTAGTGAAAGGGGGAGGTAGCAGTAACTTGCATCAATTCGACTATGTGGCACCATACGAATTGAAACGGGATTTCTGTGAACTGGGTTATAACTCAAGCTCTGCCAAAGTTTCGTGTCCTGCAATTATAGCAACATGTCAACGCTTTTCAGCCTAATGCGAGGAGCGTGAAAACCGGTGTAGGGTTTGGAGGGGGGGGGGCATACCAAGCTGATGCCTCAGCAATGCTCACTAGCCTGGGTGTTCATGTTCATTCCCGTCAGGTAGAAAGTTTGGATAAGTATCAAAGACAAGGGCCCTGAACTTTTCATGTTCTAATTATCCTATTAAAGAACATTTTAACATTATCTTCCAAATGGCTTCTCCTCCCATTCAGGTTTGACGGCCAACATTTTTAATGTTTTTCTGATAGCTTCCACCAATCACCCCTTCTTGATTTCATCACCATAGCAATACTTCGTCGAGAATAAGAATCAAGACGCGTCTAATTATCACGTCACGAAATGTCAGAGCGATAACCCATCCAGATAGAAGATATCTCGTCTCCCCTAGACATTAAGAAAGAAACAAAATATTTCCATGTGATTCCAATTTTCGCAAAGAGATACTGCACCATTTCCCTGAAAGTATTAACGACATGACGATGGCAGCATAAGGAAGTTCCGAAACGTCATACCACATAGGTATGTCCAGAACAGCACTTCCCAAACTGCGAAACGTGAGGGACTTCCACGGGAGAGACCACGAGAATAGCAAATTTTCACGTAAAATTTAGCTGGTAAGTAGTTTTACCTGCATTTAATTACAGATTCCGTACGCGCCCGTCAGAACTGGTAGTGTAAATATTAAAACAATTCGAGCGATTAGACTTCGCCATTTGTTGGCAGTATTCGTCGCCTATACGGAGCACGCCGAAGCGCTTTCGTTCTGAAAATATGAATTGTTTTACGAACAGTTCGGGCACGGTACTGATTGCGGGTCATTTGCACGTAAACAAAAACAGGGTTGGGGGTGCAAAGGGTTGGAGGAGGGAAGCATGAGGCTTTGGTGACAACCAAAACGGGGCGTTATGTTGAAAGGTTTGGGAACCACTGGACTAGAGTTAACGCTCTAGATTATTCAGAGGTACTGGGCTCGAATAACGGACGAGACACCGGCTATCGTGACTGAGGTTTTACGTGGTCCCTTAGGGCCTCTAGGCAAACGTCGGCATAGTGCCTCGGTTAAATCGCGATATATGAGTCGTCACATTATTCGACGGTATAGTCTCCATAGTGAAAACGTCGTGTCCCCTGTCACTGTGCTTGAGCACCGTGCCATGAAGACGTCTGGAGAAGTGGAGGAACTCTTTTAAATCTCAGCACTAGGAAAAGGTGAGTGGTAGCTTAGCACTCGGGCCACTTTACCTCAGAAGAGAGCACGTAGGGTAGACCCCAGGGCTGGTCTTGATGCGGTGGGAAAGAGAGCGATCCTGCTCTTGCCGGGTATTGAACCTGTCCAGCCTGTCCGTGGTCACTATACTGATTCAACTGCCCCAGCTTCGGGGAGGAAGGGTGTGGGTTGGATATCAGATTCTCAGAGAAGTTTCACTATTACCACATTACAGAGAGTTACGTCCCTCTGATTCAGCTGTTTTCGGAGTTACGCAGTTACGTAAATGGGCTCAACTCCAGTTTCATTTTACATCAGAGTTCCAAGCACCGAAAAATGTTCGTTAGTAGCATGCAATGCATTTAAGGCTGTTGGGTCTCGAGGGCCGATTTGGACGCTATGGCAATGAGAAAGTGTTCATTCCTGTGCCAGGATATGAACACCGGTCCTCCAGCCCGGTACGAGTTACTATACTGAGCTATCCCGGCTCCAGATTTTAGTGCCTTGCTTTAACTGCAAACAGGGTGTTGTGCCTGGGCCTGCAGAACCGGGTCCTTCTGTACCGAGCTCCGAACACGTGTACTGATTGCTGCTATACTGGCTGGCCTCTTCCTGTCGGAAAAATTATTTTGCCTTGCAGTTTGACTGATGAAAATCGCTTTAAAGCCCCAGTTTGTCACTGAAAATAAAAGTAAAAAATATTACCAAGATTCCTAATAGATTCCTAAATGTAGTCCAGCAGTCTTGGAAATTCACAGACAAAATATCAGAGGCTTGAGAAGCAAAAGTCATGAATTACTACACTCTTTTGAAATAGTCAACATAAACCCTCACATATTGTGTTTAAGTGAACATCACATGCTTGAACAGGAACTGCTGCTCCTCTCAATGAATGGACCCCATACCCAACCACTTGAGTTCAGCCAAAATCATATTTCTCCAGTTAAATATTATCCTCTGATAGACATTTCCAATCTCCTCAAGCATGCTACATACCCTGTTCATCTCATTCCCTTTCATTTGAGCACTCTAACAATAGTGGACAAACAGCAACATTTTATAAAGTTCCTCATAATGTAATTTTCCACAGTTTCTGACTTGCATTTACAAATTCACATCAGTACCCTGTTCTGAAACAGCTTCATCTCTGTGTTTCAAAGAACCATATAAAAAGGAGGTAAAAATTATACTTGTGTATATTTCAGCCTTTATACTCTGGATAGGTTATGGGAATGCAAACAATCCCCAAATTTAATCTGTTGTATTGAATATATTTTGATTTCTTATTCAGATCATCTGATTCCTGCCTTTACTTAACACATGAGGGTTAACTTCATGACAATTAGTACTTCAGAGGTCAGTTGTATCCTCCTAGTCTGGAACAATATATTTCTTTAATGCAACACACACAGAAAACCCAGTGTAGGGTCTGGAAATGTAAAAACTATATTCATGCAGAAACATACAGCTCTATTCACATTTTCCAGTTTTCTTAAGATCACTATTTATGAATTAAATATTGAGGCTGGAAGGTTATGAACTCTCTGAACTGAGACACTCTCAAGGTTTGCAAACAGTTCTCACTACCATCAATCATGATGAGGTCAAATTGTAGCCTATCCTCTCTGTCTTGCAGACACCATCAAACATCCATATTCATTAGCCCATGATTGCAAAGTACTTACATTATTCGTATAAATAATGCATCATGAAACCGCGCACATGTGACTTTGTTACAAACAGATGTGATATTCCACACCATTCCTGTGATACCCCACTCAGCTGTCTCATATTTTAGTTTGGATGTACTCAGAAACAGTCATTATTAGGCTTCATGTTCATTCTCCCTTTATGATGCCCCTGACAAACAAGTCACCAGTTATGCTTGATGATGCAGAATGTTAGACACAAGAGTTTCTTCTGTCTCTTTTCTTAAATACTCATAAATTAAAGTCAAAAGTTCAGTTCTTTATCCAAAATTTTCGAAATGGTGGATGAAGTATGGTAACTTGCGACCTTTGTTCACTTCTTCACATGCTGACATGATGCTTTTTGTAAGTGGACGAGGACCACAACTGAATACTCCAATTTTGCTTACCTGCAGAAACAAAATGTAAACATGGTAGAGTGTTGTTCTATACATAACCAGGACCCTAAGAGGAAAGTACAAGTATTCTCTTAATTCTTTCATTCATTCATTTACATTCCATGGATCTTTACATGGCTGGAAGACCAGTGGATACAGAAGCAGTCAAAGACAACAAGACAAGTCCCTTCAATTATATAAAGAAAAATTAATTATACATAATCCATCACAATTACACATGTTATCCAAGACAAGTCACAATGACTAATCATTAAACAGTTATAAAATATATATGTAAAAGCAAGCAACATACTAATATGAAACAAGACTACAATAATTAGAATTATAATCAAACATAAAAACACACTACTAGGCACCAGCGTATAACAGACTACGTTAGTTAATTGGGCCGCGCCATAGCTCAAACAGTTAGTCGCTGGTTTCCCACCGTGGCAGCCCAGGTTCGATCCCGGGTCTGGTCAAGTGGGATTTGTGGTGGACAAAGTGGCACTGGGGCAGGTTTTCTCAGAGTACTTTGGTTTCCCTGCCAATCTTCATTCCACCAATTGCTCCACAGTCACCCTCACTTATCATCTGGGGCTGGTACAGTAGGCCAGTAGTGGCTGCAGTGCAAGGGACTTAGTCCCACCCCACTAGCAATAAAAAAAATATCGTTAATTAATATTGACGTTAAAATATTCTTCCAATGAGTAAAATGAATTTAAAAGTAGAAATCTGTTTAAAGTAAATCTAAATTTTTTCGTGTCGATCAATTAATAAGAAATAATGGCTATAATACTGATGAACTATTTATGTAATCTGCAAATCCCCAAATTGGTACTTGGACTCATGTAACCCAACGTGAATAAATGGCTGTTGATGGGCATTAATACTATCACAATCAACTGATTCTATTTTTCAAATAAAGAAAACTATTGATGATTATTCTATTTTATTTACTTGCAAGACTTCATTTTTACTAATATCTTAAAAAGCAGGCTGGTCCAGACTTCAGTTTGTGAGCCATGAAGTTCTAATCTTTGGCTAACTAGCTGCTCTCTGGTTGCTACTCACTGGATGTGGGTGTTAACACAGAGCACAGAAGATATGAGCATCAGCGATCACATTTTGCAATGAACAAAACTACAACAGTATAGCTTCCATCACACAAAAGAGAAACTCTGGAAGTTCATGCATGTCATACTGAGCAGACTGAGTGACATCTGAAAGACTGCAGAGGTTGGTTGGGAGATTCACTGGGAATGGCATGCAACCACAAGTTGCTCTGAACTTCCTTTGGGTACTTGAAACTGTTTCTGTTTCTGCCATCCATCACACATGTGCCACACAGCCTTCTGCAGGTCAGATGCCATTCCCATAGCAACTCCCAGCTAGCCCCCATGATCTCTCCAATGTCGCTCAGTTCTGGTGAATGTGCAAATCCACATGTGCTCAATACGACACATACATAAGATAAATAAAACTTCTGGAATTTCTCCTTCATGCAGTCTAAACCTGACTCTGGTAGTATTACTCATTTTCGCAGTAAAAATGTTTAATTGTGGTCATTCTTCCTCTGACAACTCACAGGACCACAAAAGAAAAAATACCACAGAAATCTGAGACTGTGAAAAGAACATAGGTCCTACAACCATGACATCTGTTGCTGGACACGCACACAGGCCTCACTGTAGTTACTTACATAGCTGTGTTTCTTCTGAACAAATTTTAGGAATGATGACATGTCAGGACGACCAAAGTGATTCACAGCTTTCAGCCCAGTAAACATACTCATCTTTGACAGTCGCTGAAAGTGGTTTTCACAGATATACTGTAAGCAAAGGATACCAGTCTCACAATACACAGAAATATAAAATTACTTTGAAGCAAGTTCTGAGAATTAACCAGTACCTGCTACTTCAGCAGCACTTCTATAACTCAACCTGCTGTCATATTTGTAATAAAAATCTTCCTAATTCCACGAACAGACTTCAGTAGTGTGGCTTCACCTTTGATAATAATTCCTTTGGAAGAATCCTTGAGAAGCTAACAGTCATTCAGATAATCAAGAAATTTTATGCTGTTTGTTGAACATGAAGTTTCATGAATGTGTTCATAGGAGCCAAATTTTGTCTTTCATTTTCAAGAGCCTATTTAATAACATCCCCACAACCAAGTGTCTGTCTCAGCTGCTGTGCATGTGATACTGCTATCTCTGGGAGCATGGAAAAACTAGTAATTAATAATGGATAGACCTCATTTTCCTGATATGTCTATCTTGAAATAATATGTAAATTTCCATCTATGTACAATTACTTTAGTTTATTTCCCTGCACTGGGAACATGTGGTAGTGTAGTTGTTGAGGCACTATGCTACAAGCCGGAAGGTTTCGGGTCAAAGTTCCAATGAGGTCGATGCATTTGTCAATTGACCTAACCCTCCCAGCCGCACTATAGCCCTGGGGTTGACTCAGCCTCTAACAGAAATGAGTACCAGGAATCTTCCTGGGGGTAAAGGGCAGTTGGCACTTAAGGCTGACAACTTCACTGCCATCTGTGAGTCAATTGTCTAGAAAATGTGGGAGCCTTGATGTCTCACAACCCTATTCGGCCTCCATGGCCTGTTACAGGGATAGCTTTACCTTATTTACTTGTATTGATTAGATTGTTAAACCCTCGCATGTTTCAGTCTTGCAAGACCATCAAAGGTGTGTAACATATTAAAGGTTAACACCACATATACACGGTGCAAAATCCCAGAAGACTGCTTTCTTCATATTAAAGGTAAACATTACAATTCACATATATAAAAAAAAGTTTGAGGACCAAGTGCCTACTTTTATCTGATATGGCATGAATGGAACTGGAAACAAAAACATTTGGAGGGGGAAGGGAGCCACAGACACAAAGATGGCCCATTGCATAGCAATGATAAGGGAGAACGCAGACAGCAAAGTGATCTCATAAGCCTAAAAAATTAGAGAGAATACACAGACAGACAGCAAGGCTCCTTTTATTTTTTCAAAATAAGGAAAGTAGGCTAAAAAATAAAAGATTTAAAATACCCATTTCACATATTTCTTATAAAAGATTAAAGTCATTATTATATTAAAGTTCATACACACAAGCCATAGGTACTGCAGTTCGCCTGAATATGGCATGTCTAGAGTGCTGTGTTATATTTTGTTGGCTGATCCCATTTTTTGGATGTCAAAGAGGTGGAGTTCTGCTGTTTTGATGTGATCCTTGATAGCCAAAAATGGTCTCATGTTGGGATTTTAACAACACATAATCAGTACAAGGAAATAAATTAGACATGCTTGGACAGTAATTTGCATCTTGTTTCAAATTAATGCTAAACTTTGGATTTTATGATTATGAAGTGAAACAAGGTCAACCATTGATAACTGCTTGTATCCATAATATGACAAAGAAAACATGGAAGTCTATGTATACAAAATTGTTATGGAATTCTTACAAATTAGAATTTGTGTGATATAGAGGTAATGATTGTTTAGATTGTAGTCTCAGAGTTGTGAGACTGTGTACTGTTGTAGGTACGCTGCTTTCATCTGCAGGGTCAACCTGTAACTCAGTATCTACTCATAAGCCCATCTTGTTTCACAGCCCAGCAGACCACAATTCAAAAACACGCTCCTTTGAAAATCTCAAAATTTATTTTGAATTGAATTGAATTGAATTTATTTACATTCTATAAATCCTAAGCAGGTTAGTACCTTTGGATACAGAACAAGTCAAAAGGTTACATACATAAGTACAGGCAATTTTAGCTTAAAAATTAATATAACTTAATTTTACATCATTCTCTATTTACATTGAAGTATTCATCTAAAGAGTAGAAGGAATGAGCATGTAGATAATTCTTTAACTCTGATTTAAACTTTTTAGTATCATTGCCCAAGTTTTTAATACTTTGTGGCAGATTGTTGAACACTTTTATGCCAGTAAAGTAGACTCCTTTTTGATATACTGATAAAGTTGATGAGGGTAGGTGGAAGTTATATTTTTGTCTAGTATTCATGTTATAGACATCAGAATTTAATTTGAATTTATCTTTGTTGTAAACAACAAATAAGAGAAGCGATAATATGTATTGCGATTGAAGAGGTAGAATTTTTAATTTCTTAAATAATTCTCTACATGAATCTCTACTTCTACATCCTGTAATGATTCTAATTATATTCTTTTGTATTTTAAAAATTATTACACTATGTGAAGAGTTCCCCCAAAATATTAATCCATAGTTCATAATAGAATGAAAGTAGGCATGGTAAACCATCTTCAATGTTTCCTGTGACATAAAAGGCTTAATTGATCTCATCGCATAGCAAGCTGCATTTAATTTAGGTATAATTTGTTCAATATGTATTTTCCAAGACAGTGTACTGTCTACATGTATTCCAAGGAATTTTGTATCAAGTACTTTACAGATTAATTTGTTGGCATAACTGATGTCCAGATCAATTTGGTGGTTGTTTTTAGTTGTGAATGATATGTAATGGGTTTTATCAAAATTTAATGAGAGTAAATTGGCTTCGAACCATCTGTTTAAGGCTTCAAATACAATATTTATGTCATTTTTAAAGTTGTCAAATTATAAGAACATAGATATTAATTATGGTGAATTATATTGATGTACTGTTTGAAACTGATTATGTTAAATTAGGAGAGTGTCTTCCTCCTTAAGGGTCCAGCAGATGACAGAATATCTTCAAATTACAGGACTCAGAGATAATTAATTTACAACTTACCAGCATTGTTGTTCGAAGATCAAATTTATGGAAAAACTGAGTAATAAAAATGTGGATCTCGAGTACATTAGTAACATCTTTCTTCTCAACATCCCTCAGAACTTCAATAAACCACTCAAAGTGGCGATGTGATGGGCAAATCCACAGGAAGTACACCTGGAATTTCATTCTTGAGGTAGCTGACATAGCAAAATATGGCAGATTTTAAAGCAAGATCAGTAACCTCTGAAGTGTTGAAACATGTTTAAACATTGAAGAAAGTCGTCTTCTGGGTTTAGGCACCGGTGCCTAAACCCAGAAGACGACTTTCTTCATTGTCATCACCGTGAAAACCTCAAAACTTTCATGTTTAAACATTGTTTATCAGGAAGAATCACAAAGCAGCATGGAAATTTAGTGGGGGTGTTCTCTGAACCATTAGGGGTCACTACTATAATAAAACATGTTCTTCATTATCAAGGTGACTTTGATTGTTCAAGGACCATCTCTGCATCCAGCAATCTTTTCAATTTTATAAATAACATATTTTACAACAGAAAACCATTTCAATGGATCCACAGAGTAATAATTTACGACCCAGCTATGTACTGCCTAAATGTTATGCATGCCATTGATTATTTGCTTATCGTAAAGCAATAAAGTGTTACATACCTTCTTGCAGGCAACACCCGAGTATCTATTGGTTGAGGTTCCGAAGACCAAATCATTCAAGATGGAAGCATAGGGTGTGACACCGATACCACCACCAACCATCACTGCCACTTCAAATTTATACCAGTCTTGATTACCTCCTCCAAATGGCCCTTCCAAGCGTATCTGCAAAAATAAAATCAATGATGGTAGTGTCATCATCATCACTGGCAAAACACCCCTTATTGAGCCACAGCCTTCCTTAGAAGATTCTGCCAGACTTTATTCTGTCATGAATTAAGCCATCTGGTTTTCAATTCTTTGGACTTCACAGCAGTGATTCTTCTCAGAGCAAGGTCATCAGCCTTACATCCAACACCCAACCTGAAGACCAAGTCTCTGTATTTATGTCCCTCAGTAACATGGTGGGGAGCCGGGACAGCGTAGTTGGTATAGCAACTTGCTAGGCTGGGAGACTGAAGGGTCGGAGTTCAAGTCCTGGTAGGGTCAAGAATTTTCTCTTCTCCATGTTGTCCAGACTGGCTCTGAGGTTCACCCAACCTCCTATCCAATGGTTACCAGGGGCTCTTTCCCCGGGGGTAAAGCGGTTGGGGCGTGAAGCTGACCACTCACCTCTAGCTAATGCCGAGGTCATGAAAATGTGGATCTATACATCCACTCCACCATACGCCTTCATGGTGTAGTGCTTATTTACTTAAGCACAGGGACAACTTTACTTCACTTTTTACTTTAGTCACAGGGTGGCCCAGTTATAGCCCCCAGGCACCAGATTCCCTTTTCATCAGACTCACAGGGCTACAGTGGAGGTATTCTAACCTGTCTCAACACAGGACAAGTGTAATGATACTCGTATACAGAATACCAAACTACACTGCATCACATCCTATAAGATTGTAATCTCATTGCTCACCACCAGTGAGGGCCTAAAATCTCAAATTTGGCAACTGTCTGTACAATTTTCATCTCTCAAAAGAAGGTTGGTGACATCAGCAAGAGCTTGTTAACTGGTTCACCCTGTTCCTTGTCCAAATCCTGAAGATCAAAATGTATTTTGTGTGCCTGTAAGTAAAGCACTGGCTCTTGCTTTGAGCCATATTAAAAGTGTTTTAAAACAAAGTGTCAGAAAATACAAGTATTTGGCCCAAAGGAGGAGGTGAGTGGAGAAATGAGGATATCACAAAATCAATTATGTTGCTTATACAAGTCTCCTCATATTGCTAGTACAGTGAAATCAAACAGGTTAAGATGGACAGTGTATGTAGCTAAGATGAGGAGGCTAGATACACATACAGCACATTGGTGGAAACACCTCTTGGATGACAACGAAGGATATAGAATAACAGTGGAGAATGTTCCTTTAGAAATATGCTGTGTGTCTTAGCATTGTGTCCTGCAGCAGGCTTCAGGTTCTGCCTTCATAAGCATGACATTAACCCTTTCATTGCTACTAAAGAGAAGTGTGATTTGTCTGGTTACTCAGGTCTTGGAGAAAACAAGGGCAGCAATTTAATGCAGGTGAAGTGGTTATTACATATGATTTCAGTATTTTCTGTAGTAATATTTTTTGTTCAAAAACATGTTGAAAAGGTTTTTGGCCATGTGGAAATTTTTGAAAATTTGGAAAATCGAAAAAATAGGATGATGCTCATATATATATATATATATATATATAATGGCTGAAGAGAACTTATAGCAAGGAGCAGATGGAAAAATATACATTCTGACATTAACTACTCTTCAAATGACAAATTTACTGAAATTATGTTAAGAGCAAATAATTATCTTTACTCTCTAAATTCAGAAGCAAACATGACCTGCACATCATAATATAATGATTTACAGTGAAACTCATGCGGTAAATAAATAATTATGAGACCAGAAGTTATGATTTGTGAGGAAAATTGATTTACCATTTTGACATATAATTCCAAGTTTTATTATAAACTTGGAATTATATGTCAAAACTGCAGACATATTTGCCTACTCATGCAATTTCATAAAACAACTTACTTTGGGATGATCTTCTTCAGGGTTATAATTACAAGGATCAAAGTAGTTGCGAAGTTTCCATGTCCAAGGGCCCTGTGCCTTGATGTGGCATGACAGGAAGTTTTCATGCGGTGCTGATGTTAGCGTAAACGAATGAAACTCTTCAGTCCGAAATGCAGTGCATGCAAGACGGACCCATTGTCCAGACAGGTACTTAAAATTGGGGGGGCGGTAGAACTTGATCTTTATCACATCTGATGGCAGTAGCTCTGTTTCGACAATATCCAGAGCCATGTATTTTGTACGAAGACTCACTACCTGAAAACACATAAAATACTTGAAAAATATATACAGTAAAGAAAATGGAAATTATGGATGGCTTGTAACAAAAGGTTGATCTTGAATCATTAGGCAGCCATACACAGAACTTTTCTAATAGTTCTCAGCCATCACAGACTCAATCTGTGGAGACAGCTCTGTGTGTGCATGCAGGTGCTGCATCAATCTATATCCATTTGAACTGCGGTTCCCAACTCTTGCTCTCCATACATGCACATGGCTTTAAAAATGGGTGACAACCATAGTTCTTTCTTGAAGTGAGATTATTTTGAGCCATTCAGAACTACTTTTATGGCTCCTTTATTTCTCTGGGTTTGGTCAATTTCATCTTGGCAATCCATCCATTCTCTGTGACGTTCTGGACCATTGCCTCCCCTTTCCTCCTCTGTCACTATTCCCGTCAGGCCCAGGTATTTCCTGTCTGCCCGTCTGTTGGCCTGCTTATCCTCAACCCACTGTGCTAATGTTAGTGCTATACTGTGCCATGCAAATTTGAAAATTACTTTAATTTGTTTCATTCTGGTCCGTCACACTAATAACATGAAAAAGTTAAATATTTCAACTTTTAGAACATGTACAGTAATAGTGGCTTCAAAATGAATTGATGTCAAGGTGTCCCTCTGAAGATGGTCTCTGAAGACCAAAACATGTAAGGGCATGAATAATTGAAATAAGAAACAAACCTTAACGAGTCGCACTGGACAGGAATATTTAACTTTTCCATTGAAAATTACATTTCAGTGCTGCCTGTTGGGCTGTCCAGGCAAGCAGCCCTCATCACATACATGATGCTGCAGCCGAATATTGAGTAATGTAATGCTGTTACAGCGTGTGATGAGGTATTTGATTTGTGTTCTGTATTTGTATGGCAAGTACGGCATGTTGCTACTTGCGAATGCAGGATTGTTGAGGGGATAATCAAAAGTGGAAGCACAATAGACCACCGTAGGTCGCAGTGCATGGGCCAAGAAGGCCCACCCCTCATACATTCATTCATTCATTCATTGGTGCTCCTACTTTCACTGATAGCAGAGAGTAGTTCTTGTGAAGCAATGGCATCATTGTCTCAAAGCCCTTTCCGGCTGAGTTCTGGTAGATATTTGATCTCCATCTGTTTGCCTGTTTTGGTAGCACCTGCCTAGTGCAATTTTGACTGTTCATTCATTCTGTGTTTTGCTGTAATCTGTGCTTGCACAACATACCACTAGCCCGATATATTCCTTGTCTAAACAGTACGCAGAGCAATTGGCAGCTCAGCTAAGTATGTCTGTAAAGGAATGCTCCATGACCTCAGAAGACATTTAAAGGAAAAAGGGGACCACCATGAAAGGTGTCCGTCTTCTCAGCGTAGAGACAAGCAGACCTTGGGTACTTGTTCTGATACCAAGTCTAATTATTATATTAATGTTCAAGATAATTCACATTTATATAATATCCACGTTAAACTTATTTCTGATTTCATTAAGAACATCTTCTTGTGGACTAATACTGATCCAGAGAAAATGTTGAAATTGTTGATCTGTGTGAAAAAGATTCATAATTTTGGCCTTGTTTCTGACTCTGTATTGATCAGCAGGCTGCTAGGCCATGTTACACGAATTCTGGGAGCTCATTTGGTTAGTAGTCCAAAACTGGAGATTGGTTTGCTCAGAATTCATTTCCAAATTCCTTCCTCCTGGATTAAAGAAAGATTTCTAGTGTCTTGTATCACTGGCCATTTCCAGGCTCCTAACAAAGACCTTAATGACTATCTTATGTCAGTGGTAGTTGTGGCAGATATATTGAGTTATAAAGGCCACAATAATATACTCAACAATATACACCCGCACATTAGGGCACATTTTCTGTTTTCATCTAAGACTTTCTCTGTATGAGAGTTCTTCCTGTTTGCCACTAAGGTAGCCTAAGCTGCAGATATGCAACATCAACAGAGAATGTTGAATCATTCCTTCCTTCTTTGCCTTTAAACCTATGAATGTAATAAAAGTTCCAGAAACTCAGTTTCCATAGATCTTATTCTGATGCATTTCTTTGTCTTAACAGTGCCTTAAGCCACAATGTCTACCCTTCTCAGAGGGTACAGTCAGCTGAATCCACTAAACTTAAGAGTTAGTGGAGAGATTACCTAATTTCCCACTCCTCCCGAGAAAAACTGGGCACTGTTAAGGGTATGGCTTGTTTTTTTAACTATCTGATGAAAATCTAGTGGGTTCATGCCCTCATCACTGCTGTCCCCTCAGGTTTCAAATTCTGATGGACTCACTTCAGGATGCACACACAAATGCGCATTTTCTTTCTCTGTTCCCCTTATTATCAAATCTTTTCAATAGCTAGGTTGCCAACAGGAATCAGTGTGGGCTCTCAAGTTCTGTGCTGAGCAGTTCATGCTTTGTTCCGGGACAACCTGACAGTCCGTATGAGGAGCACTGTGACTGTCGGCATGAAGTTTTCACCTGGATACAAACACTGGCTTCACTCTGAATCTAGAGAAGATTACATTGGTCCAGAGGGAAATCAAACTTCTGGGCACTCCTCATCAGCCCAAGGCGCAAGGGTCTTGTCAGACAAGATTATAATAGCTATTCATAATTTCTGAACCTATTGAAGAGGTGCAGGCAGTACAACGGTTCTTGGGGATGAATGGCTCTTACTGCCATAGTTTTCCCAAATGGCTCAGCCTCTCCCCATGCTCAAACCATAAAGGAGCAAAAGGGTGGCTAATACTTTCAATTCTTTCTTTTCCTAAAAGCTGTATGCTTAGTTTTTCTTTTCTTATGTGTATTCATTAATGAGATAGTAATATACGCCACAGTACAACAAAATCTTATGCTTTTATTACACAAAAATATGGCTTCCATGATGATAAAAAAATTGAGAATCAGGTTTCTGCTCAAGACAAAAGACTTTGGTCTTGACCAAATCCATTGCCTTCTCAACAGTTGCTACTTCACTTATTGAAAGGTGCAAATAGCAGGAACATCATGCAGACCTATTTTTAAAGAATTAAAGAATTTAACTGTTACATCTTCGTATATCTTTGATGTGTTGTGCTATTTTCAGAAATATAATTTATGAGAAATTCAGTTTTATATGAATATAATACCAGAAGGAAAGATAATTTTCATGCAGCAAATTGTAATATATCAGCTTTTAAGAAAAGTGTTATCAATATGGGTATTAAATTGTATAACAGACTGCCTTTGGAATTAAGGAAATCAGATGGATGTAAAGACTTTAAACATGAGTTAAATTATTTTTACTAGATCATCCATTCTATACATTGTATGAGTTCCTCTTAGAGAAAAAGTAAGCATAGCAAAACCTCTATTCAGCAATTGAAATAGATAACAAATGGATGCTTTTAGTATCTTAATGTGATTGGTGACTCACTTGGTCATATGTAGGACTCTTGATTTACTGTAATACTCTTAAAATTCTCTCAATAAACTTATAAGGTTAACTGGCATTTTGATTTACGTATGTATCTAATTTGGTCATTTATCTGGTTTTGATGGTGTGTGTTACCTTTTTATTACAGGTTATCCATGTCAAGAGTAATAAACCAGATAAATGACCAAATTAGATACATACGTAAATCAAAATGCCAGTTAACCTTATAAGTTTATTGAGAGAATTTTAAGAGTATTACAGTAAATCAAGAGTCCTACATATGACCAAGTGAGTCACCAATCACATTAAGATACTAAAAGCATCCATTTGTTATCTATTTCAATTGCTGAATAGAGGTTTTGCTATGCTTACTTTTTAGAATTTGTCAACAATAAATAATTATTTATTGTTGACAAATTCTAACCCCTTAGGCATTTGAGCAAAAGGATTTCAATAATGATGTACTTAATGATGTGACTTGTTCAAGTGTTACTCTTGTAGCAATTGTGAATGCCAAATAAGAAACTAAGACAAGGTATGAACTGCAATGTATCAAATCCAGGGTCTTACATCTGGCTCCTAGATATGTATTTATGGCTGGCTGCTTATGGTAGACATTAACCCCATACTTCTCTGAAATGGTACAGAACTGTGCATATAGCCTGACTCTGCCTGCATCCTCAGTTTATTAGGCCTCTCAACTGAAATGCTCCAAAGTATATAAGCAATGAAAGGAATGTTTAATTCTGCTGTGCTGAATGTATCAGAGGAATAATGGTAATTAATTAATTACCTAATTTATTCATATTAACTTAAATAATTAAACATTACATTATTCTTTTGAATTCATTTGTCCCCATTCTTAATTTAATTTTTCTTTTTTTGAAACCCCTATCTTCCTGCTATTCTTGCTTCCATATAAGATGAAGTATAGGATGGAGGCTACTGCCTTCACCTGCTAAGGCACAGAAGCTCTTACCTTATCCAGAGTGTATACAACACCAGGGCCAATGAAGAAAACCCAGAACCGAGGTGCTCCAGTAAGCCTTGCAAGTCCATGAACAAGACATAAAATATACAGGACTACATACAGACTATGGGTTGACCAGAAGAACTTGTATGCCTTCTTGCGGATGATAGGGTGAGCAAATACAAAGATTATTATCATCACCACAAAGAGCAACACGCCTGTCAGCCCTGAAAGGCAGAAACAACATCAGGTACCATCCAAGAACAATGCTCATTCAGAATATTTGAGCTATGCACTACTTACTGCTACACTGCAAATACAGCCAAGACTGAGGAAAATACAAGAGGTATAAATTCCAGAATCAAACAGAAATGAATATACGTAGACAAGTCGATAAGTAAGTTACAAATGGATATAGAACTTAAACAAATAAGAGTACTGATTTGAAAAATGCTTTTATTTCTCAACATAAAATCCCTGTACATTGAGGCACTTGTGCCAATGTTTCACAAGCCACTGAAAACCAGCAGCATAAAATTCTTCGGGCTGCTGTCGGAACCAGGCGGTGACTTCAGTTTCTACAGCTTCATCGTCAGGAAAATGTTCAGCCGAAAGATGGTGTTTAAGAGGGCCGAACAAATGGAAGTTGCTTGGAGCCACGGAGATTGCCACAGAGGCAAATGTGCAACGGGTTGCAGACACAAGGGTAACTACAGACACTATAGCCACTGCTATTGGTTGTTCTCACGGCATGGCCTACCTCATAATGCATGACAGGTTAGGTTCCCACACAGTCTGTGCACGATGGGTGCCACGCATGCTGACCCCACAACGCAAAATGCAAAGAATGGGTCTGGCATTACAGCATCTCAATCGCTACCACGATGAAGGACACAATATGCTAGTCCAAATTGTCACAGGTGATGAGTCTTGGGTTCACCATTACCAGCCCGAGACAAAGCATGCGTCACTGCAGTGCAAACATCCTGCGTTGCCTGCCAAAAACAAGTTTAAGGCAACACCGCCTGGTTCCGACAGCAGCCCAAAGAATTTTATGCTGCTGGTTTTCAGTGGCTTGTGAAACAATGGGACAAGTGCCTCAATGTACAGGGAGATTATGTTGAGAAATAAAAGCATTTTTCAAATCAGTACTCTTATTTGTTTAAGTTCTATATCCATTTGTAACTTACTTATCGACTTGTCCTCATAGCAGTTCCTTCAAATTTGTACTATGCATGATCTGTGGAAGTGCTCTAGCAATTAGGCAAGCTATGATTGACACAACAAAGTATACTAATGACAGCTGAGCTGATTGCAATTGCTGTGTACAGTAAATACTGCTGTAACAGTGGGACCAACCTGTAATCGTTTGAAAGAGCCAGAAAGTGATGCCAGGCTTATAGTCAGATGGAAAATGAACTTCGCTTGTGAGGCAGCGTAAATGTTCCACGGGCTGCGTTGAGACATGATAGAAGTTTACAATGTGGCCAACTGTGTGGAGCAGTGAAAAGAAGAGCGCTGTACATGCAGCAATCTTGTGGAACTGAAAAATATAAAAAGTCACAGTTCACCTTTCTTCTAAATGGGTGTGGGACAGGACATCATTTGAATGAGGACAAATTCTTCTGGCATTGCAAAACAATGTAAAACTCCTTAATTCAGAAGAGCACTTCACATAAAACTACTCTTTGATAAGTTCATTGGAACTAGATTTGATGTTTCTTTATATAAGTTTTTCCTTCACTTACCACTTAATTTCAGTTATTGGAAGTGAATAATCTCAAGAGCTAAATTTCCTCCACTGAAGATTTCCTCAGTTTAGTGTTTGAACCCACTGCTTCCCGAAGCAATTTTTAAGGTAGGTTTCATTGTTGTCAGGCATAGCTACATTTTGTAACTTACCTTTTGTTACATATAGATAAAAAAAAGTAAAGCTATCCCTGTAACAGGCCATGGAGGCCCATAGGGTTGTGAGACGTTGAGGCTCCCACATTTTCTAGAAAATCGGCTCATAGATGGCGGCAAGGTTCTCAGTCCTATGCGCCAGCTGCCCTTTACCCCCAAGAATATCCCTGGTACTCATTTCTGTTAGAGGCTGAGTCAACCCCAGGGCCCATACTGCGGCTGGAAGCATGAGGTCAAGTGAAAAAAATCTTGTACCTGCGACCTTCCGGCTTGTACCATAGTGTCTCAACCAACTACGCTACTGCGTGCCCCCATTACATGTAGTATCATTGTTTATTTAGTAAAATTATTCTGAAATTTGATATACTGGTGGCATTCTGGTCGTGGAACACCTGAAGAAGTCAGCCTGTTTGCAACAGGTAAAGCAGTATGAAGGAAATGCAGCAATACAGAGCACATATTTTCTAATACATCAGTGACCTTGACTACACTGCCTCAGAAAGCAACTGATTGTGTTGGTCAGTGACTACACAACCTAATGCACTGCCACATTTCAAAAGCATCTGAGCCCACAGTGTGCCTACCATTCTTTTCCTGAACAAACACCTATGCCGTTTTATTTACAATGATAGTCTACATAAATTAATAAAATGTAATCAATACTGTTACAACCATCTGGTTATTTTGAGGCCCATGTGAAAGGATTTACAATGTTCACATTCACTGGACACTGACTTATGGATAAAATCTTATATACTGAACATGAATGCAATCTGTCCAATTACAAAGGGCAGAGAGAGACAGACAGCATTCCAACCACATTTCATACTCACGGGTGCCGAAAATGTGTTAATCTGTCAAAATCTTAGGATAAAGTTTCATATTCAGAAGGCTGGAAATATGTAAACCCATGACAACCTTACTCAACATACAAGTAAAGGTCAGTCAAATTATTGTGGTGGTGATAATGGTGATGATGATGATGATGATGATGATAATGTGATGTCATCACTATGAGAACTTCATTCATATCTATCTTATCATGCAATTCGGTACAGCTGTACTCATGCTTTAAGTGTACCTGTATATGCGAATCCAGAGGTATGTATTGCTGAACTGAAAACTCCTTGAGCTTAGTGAGCAAGTTACGAGACATCGTGAGAAGTAGCAGACAGTAGCAGAAGGAGAGCGAAGCAGCCGAGCCTCGTGTGATAGCAATTCCCACGCCCATGATGTGCCTCAGATCTGTGTGCTCAGCCATGAACGAGTAATCTGAAATTAAATGTTCACATCATCAGTGCAAACAGATATGAAAACATAGCACACTCCTGATTATTTATTTTCTTTGCCTTTCCTTTTTATGTAGGATGGTTGGTGATGAAAACCTGTGCGTGTGGGTGGGGCACACAGAATGCATAGGATAAGGGAAGCATTTTCATTCAGAAAACCTGAACAGAAGGGACCATTTGCAAGAACTGAAGATGAGCATGATTACAACAGAAAATTATCTAAAGAATTAATTTTGAAGATATGGATAACATTCATATGTCTCAGGACAAGATCCACTAACAGGCTCTTGTGGAAAAAGCAAAAAATCCTCAAGTTTCACACAAGAAACTTGAGTACCTGAGCAAATATAACTTCTGAAGGACTGCGCTCAGCAGTTAGTTACAGTGGTGACTAACCATCTGAAGATGTGAGTAACAAATGCTGTACCTGACAACAGCCACAAATTTCTGATCGTGTGTTGCCTTTTGCAGTGCCCACACATACAACATGTTTCCTCAAGCTGTGGGGTCAGAGTTTCCTCTGAGGAGGTGCCCCAGTTCTCAAAATCATTTGAAGTACAGCTGTATTCATGCACAATTTTAGCAACTGAAGACATTTTGATATAAAAGTACTTTCAAAAAACACGTCACAAATTTTCTGTAACTGTAAAGGAACATTTTGTAAATGCCTTACTCTGTGTGTATAGAGGCTGATGCTACCATGGTAGAGACCAGCTGATCAGCAGAGCTGGAGGGTCATGTAAATTTATGTATTATTTTACAAAAGGGTGTGTAATAAGGTGCTTGACCAGCAAGCAATATTTTCCTCTTAGTTCTTAAATAATTTAAAAAAATAAAATAACACATAAATATGTGTGAATTACTGAAGCCTACAGAGTTATATATTGTATATAGGGTTCATACTATGCTACACGTGTTTAACCCTGCGACTGCCAAGCCCCACCAAAGAACTATCTGCTGGCAATGACAAGGCTGTTTGGCAGTACATGCCACATAAGTATGCTAAACTGGTCTAATTGTCTCATATGGCTCAGATAACTGACCAAAGTATAAAAAGGGATTACACCCTGCAGCATGTGCCTAATCCTATCAGATCACGGTATCACAGAGTTTAAAAACCCTGAGACACAGAGTAACGAAACCGTACTTACGTATGAATCGCTCAACAAACAGTGCGATGGTGATAACATAAAAAACAAACAGATAGAATATGTTTTGGCGATTCTCCTCCAGGAATGTGGTGATGCAGTCCCACTTTCTCAGCAGCCAGTGGCGAGCTCCATCTTGTGCTGGTTCAATATGAAAGCTTGTCATTCTGGAACAGCCAATAAATGTTACTGTTTACACATTCTCCATACTGCGAAGTTGGTTATATCCAGCATGCTCTTTCCTTCAGAGAAACTTGGATTAAATAAGGTGTGGGCTGTCCATATTAAGGATATATATGAGATGCTTAAAAATGATACAAACTGTATAAAAATTGTATAGCTCGTTCATTCTTTTATTCTGAAATCCCTAGAAAAGTTTGGACTCAATTCACTTCAATTTTCACTAAATTTACACATGATCTTATGGAAGTTGATCACCTCATATATTATAGTAAATGAAAACATGTAAAAAACAGTACCGTGATTTTCAAAACTTTTGCACTTATAATTTCAGCCTTTAGGAATAATGTTGCAAAATTACATTTACATTCACTACACTGTTCAGGAGAAATTAATAATAATGTATTGAAACTCGAATTCACTTTTACTCGACTTGCAAGCTATTCACTGTAGAAATGTGGCAACATTGGAAACAGAGTAGTGTCATAGAAACTATAGCAAGTTTCTATAAGATGTGCACTATAACCAAGATGTCACTATCCATCTTTCCAACGACAAGTTGCTTTTGGCATCTTGATGCATGAAAGACACAATGTAACATAGAGAAGTGTAGCTATGATTAACCTGCAAATGTACAATGGGTCAACTAAGGCTTCAGTTGGGATGTTGGTCTGCTCATGTGGGACCACTGAACTGTGCAAAGCAGCCAGCTTGTAGAAAACTACAGTGTTGTCAAGTTCAATTCTTCTCAAAGTGTATTTCAATAATCCACATGAATAAAATTAAATTCATAGTTTTCATAAATATAATAAATAAATAACAACAATTTAATTTAAATTTCACAACTTCTTTTGTCAGGTTCAATTCAGAGAGTGAGCATTCTATAAACGATTAATTATAATGACAAATGTTAAAAATGTAGCCAAAAAGTGATAAAAAATAAATACTCTCACAATAAAATTTAGGACTTTCAACTGTCACTTATATTGGCATCTGACTTTATTTAAGACCTGCAAAGTGCAGGTATTTATTTGTTAAACTGGAATTTAAGCAACTTCTAAGCTTGTATCTCCTATACATCCTTAAAGGTTTGTCAGCCACCAACTTAATTTTGATTCTTCAGGTTCAACACTACCTTCATTTTGTGTCAAAATCAAAAACAAATTCCTGAGAAGTTTCTTACTGTACAAGAAACATAAAATGGTTCACAGCATAAAACACTTCAGTACACAATCCATATAAACTATTTACAGTTTTCCTTGAATTTAATTAAACATACAATACACTGAGAATGTTCCAGATAACGGTTACTCACTTCCTGTAAAATAAAGTCTGTTATATTTCTGATTTCAGCTTCTTTTACACTGGAAATTGTAGTGCACCAACACTGACAATGAAGATTTCAGTGTAGACTACCTATCCCCAATTAACTCAAAATGCACTAAGTTACATGGGAGCTGATACATTAGAGCAGAGAGATATATGGAGAGACATCATCTCTAAAGCATGTCTCCTTCATTAAAACAGCATATAGGATTTATAGCAGAAGAACCAAATTCTGCATTATAATGTCTACTTTTCATATTTGGTTTAATTCTTAGGATGAGAAATTTGAATGTTTTGAAAGTGAGTGATACTGTGTCTTCAATAAACGGCTACATGAACTGAATGAAACCACTGCTTCAGTAGACATTGTGCAATAAAATTGCAGCTGAGCTGTGTGACACTATTCATCCCATTTGCATCATTTCCCTTGCGAATAGAACTGTGAGCATCGCACCTGGCCACATTTGTAGATGTGTCTAGGAAGTTCTGTTTGGCACCCTTACAGTCAAGGCCAATTGCCACAAAATCACCCTTGTACTCTTTCATCATAAGCTTGAAGTCACTGTAGGTGAGAAAGTCCTTCTGCTGCAAGCCAGCATCTTGGAACATGCCCTCTATTAGGTCAGTGACATGATCATCTGACAGGCTGGTAGTTCTTGCAATTTCCACTAGTGAACGCAACATCTCAGAAAGTTCACCCTTGTCAATAACACCATTGCGGTCATTGTCACACATATCAAATATTATTCGCAGTTTGTCTTCTGTTTTTCCTCGGGAAAAGAGCACAACTGTATCTAAGAATTCCTGCAATAAAATAAAAATATTATCATTTATGAGTGCATGTCTGTGTGTGTGTAATCTGATAGCTTAACAGTCACACTATAGACAGCTGCATTTGACTTTCCATTATAAAGTATAACCTGTCATAATCTGTATGTATTAATAGTCTTCAAGTGCATACAATCCCATCTACCACTTCTACACTACACATTTCGGCAGTATGCTGCCATCTTCAGGTGTATCGATCCATCAACTATTTCACTGCTTGTTAAATGATATAAACTCCGTCCCAAGTGTCCTTGATCTTGCTCTCCTTTACACTATATGTTTCGGCCTCAAACAGCCATCATCAGGTGTGTACACTCACGTTGCTGTTACACTGCACTTAGTTTAAAATTTAACATTTAAAAACACATTGTTCCTTTCGTTGTTATTATCAACATCTACTTCGTTGATATCTGTCCGGTTTATAGATTATTTTTGTTACACACATTAATTTTGATTTCCCTGAATTAGCACTATAAAATCTTTAGTTCTAATTTTAAAATCATTTAAAATTTTTCTCTAAATTTTAAAATTTAAAATTTCAGGGTTACTCGCCCTATGTCTACAGTGCTGCAGCGGCTAGTTCTTGTACGCAGCGCTGTACAGGTGTTATTCTGTGTAGTCTCCCTGTGTGCGTGCCGCTGCCACACGTAGTAAAGAATAGCAGTGGCACGCACACAGGGAGACTACACAGAATAACACCTGTACAGCGCTGCGTACAAGAACTAGCCGCTGCAGCACTGTAGACATAGGGCGAGTAACCCTGAAATTTTAAATTTTAAAATTTAGAGAAAAATTTTAAATGATTTTAAAATTAGAACTAAAGATTATATAGTGCTAATTCAGGGAAATCAAAATTAATGTGTGTAACAAAAATAATCTATAAACCAGACAGATATCAACGAAGTAGATGTTGATAATAACAACAAAAGGAACAATGTGTTTTTAAATGTTAAATTTTAAACTAAGTGCAGTGTAACAGTAACGTGAGTGTACACACCTGATGATGGCCGTTTGAGGCCGCAACATGTAGTGTAAAGGAGAGCAAGATCAAGGACATATAATATATTGTTTGCACTTGGGATGGAGTTTATATCATTTAACGTATAGAGTGCAACAGGATGCTTAAATATAATATTCACTGCTTGCCTTTATATGTCCATTTATAAATAATATTAAATTTGTATACATCCTTATATAATAATAAAGTTTATGTATTTAAAACTTGTTAAAACCTATTATCTCATACGTCATATTTTAAATTCATGTGTATTATTGATCATCCACATGGGAGTCGTTCTTCTTATGTTTCTAATGTTGTGTGTATATCTGCAACGTGAAAAATGTTACATATTAATGTTATGTTTTGATTTCTATTGGTTTCGTGTTGTTAATATTATACTGTTTAGTACTCACTATGTCTTATGATGTGTTCTACCCTTGTGGCTGTGTGCGTTGTATCGTTGGATGTGTGTGTGTGTGTGTGTGTGCTGTTTTTGTTCTCTTATATTATTGATCGAGTTATGGTGTTGTGGGGGTAGGTGGTGGGGTTGTGTTGTGTTGTTCTGTGTAAATTGTGTGTAATTCATGAAATATTGGGTTATATATTTCTTTATTTATGTTATTCATATGCGTGTTTTTCTTTGTTGTTCTGTATATATGGTAGTTTTCCAATGTGTTTAAATATTGTCCTTTTTTATTCATTGCTATGATGTCCATAGTATTTTCTATTGTACCGTATGTGTGTCCCGTATCTAAAATGTGTTGCGAGTATCCTGTATTACACACATTCCAGACATAAGACACAATAACAGTAATACAGGATACAGGGGGGAAGCCTTTTGGAAAGCACCAATTCAGAAGACAGTGCAAGAATTATATAAAAAAAACTGATCTATCACAATGATGGTGCACTGATACGGTTCAAGGCTGGGTCCAATATAGTGTAATGTGTTTGGAATCCAGAAGAGTCACTTCTATGGAAACGCTGGAATAGAGCGTTGCATTGGAAACAACAATAGTGATATTGTAGGTCTAACAGGAGTCTCCACGGTTACAACAGAAGGTCCAATGCACAGCAACGGCCGCGAACATATAAGAAGGCAATACATTCGATAAGAGTCTCGCGATAGATGCCTAGAGATACAGATGTACTGGCTGAGATATTGTAAGCAGTCATTGTAATACTGCAAGTGCTAACAATTGTAAAGGGTGTGAAAGTGTGAGTGTCCAGTAAAGGTTCTACTGAACTTGAGACCTACGCGGACTTATTTGTTGCGTGACACACAAAACACGTAACAATATTAATGGTAAGAACTGTTAGATAATGTTACCAGAGACTTAGTATTTGCACTAGCACTTACCTGAAACGAAATGCGTCCATCACCATCTTTATCAACAATGTTAAACATCTTACGAACAAACACAGCATCAGGTTTCATGCCAAGTGCACTGGCAAATTCACTTTTAGACAGTGACGTTCTCATGACAGTCATCACCTCCCCATCTTCGTCTCCATCTGAACGTGAACGTCTTCGCTTCTCACCTGGCTTAAGCCCGAAAGTCAGAGCATAGGCCTCACGGAAGAAGTGCTCAAGCCTCCTCTGTCTCCTTTCTCTTGTTTCCGCATTTGTTAGCATAATCTCACGTGGTGACTGCACACTGACCAGCCGCTTTTTGTGGGAATTCAGAAAAGCCTCCAATTTTGAGACAAACTTCCGACGCGCAGCAAGAGTGTCAAACTCCAACACAAGATCATGGTCTCTTGGAACCCGGATTAAAACAAGTGGACGCTTTTTGTTTCCACTGCTGTCCTGAAATAACAGTAAAATGTTAGATGAAACACTCAGTGCTTCAAAGTAAGACTTCAAGAAACACTATTCTTGTATATTTTATCATCTTCATCTACCTCACAGTTTTTGTAACAGCAAATTTGTTGTACAGAAAGTGACAGAAGATGATAGATCTGTATATGGTCTTCCTGATTCTCTAAGGATATTCATTTCTGAAGAGTTCTATCTTCTGGGATAGGTTTCTCTGCAACTATTGTTAACTTTCAACACACTACAAGGTGTTATATCTGCAGAGACAGACCTCTTCATAACCACTGCTGTAAGAACCTCAAATCCTACACTTTCATTTCTGTTTGTACTTTGTCAAACACTCATTCCCAAAAATTAAAAACCAGTTGTGGTTATTTCTGCTGCCGCAACCACCGCCACATTTACTATTTTATCCACACTTTTTCTAAGTTCAGTACATATTATTCAGCAATTTCAATCACAGTGTTACATGACACATCAAGAAATGATGAGTCCAGCAACAAAGTCGACTGAAAACTTCAATACACACCATCTGAATAACTACCTCACAGAAAAGTGAAAAACCCGCCTAAGGTTTCTTTGCAGAGCAATGGATCTGAAAACTAAAGTGATGGAAATCTAAAATAGGGATTATTTTGTCTTTGGATAATTGAAATTTAATGTTACATGCCAGAAAACTACATAAGTGGGAGAGCTGCATTATATAAATGAATTGTTACAAGAGCAACTAATCACATTCTCTCTTTCTTGCACCTACCATCCTCCTTCAACTCATTTCACATACTGATTCATTCACTCTCTCCTCCTGCCTGCTTTTCACACTTCTACTTTTCTATTATCCCTCATTACACTATGGCTATCTCCCTTGCTAATAAATCTGTGCCCAAACAACATTACACACGAATTAACGCATGCCAGTATAAGCCACACACTGCATGCTGTTGTGTGATGTTAATGTACTCACCTGTGATTCCTCTACTGTCAGAGCTTCCGACGTTCTGAAATTCACAGCTCGTAACTTCTCGCCTTTCCGATCAACTGTGTGAATTGCTGCTTCAGGTCCAAATTTCACTTTCACCAAGCGGCGATGGTTGGCATGGAGCCACTCTCTTACGGCCATCTTATCTACTGAAGTCCTCCCTCCAGCATTGTTTTTCAGCTCCTCCTGCTGCATCCTCAGGCGGCGGCGGCGGCGGTTCTGAAGTTTCACTACTCCGTACCCAGCTCCAGCACACACAATTGGTACAAAGCCCAGGAAGACACAAGCGTAAATATAGGCCAGCTCACTACCCTGAAAAAGAAAATGATTAAGCCATCTATCAACAGAAAACATAAGTAAGGAATGTGAAACTGTATATTTATATCAATTTATTCCACTTTTATAAAATTCCAGAAAGATAAATCTGTTTCAAATGGACTAAATTTAGTTCTGTCACAGTACTAGCATTTATTGTAGGGAACCACAGAAGCAGAGCAGTGCCATCAGCAAGCTACACATTCATCAGACATCAATATCACAGGAAATGTGTTTCAAATGTCAGACTGCCACCAGGCAGGCCCTTGCACGTTTCTGTGTGGAGGCTGACCACTGAAATTATGCAACCTATATGAAGGTTTCATTTTAAAAAGTAAGAAACAACATAGCTACTGCACAAAACATTTTAGCGTGAATCACATTAACACACCTAGTATTAGTCTCAGTGTTACTGAAATCCGCAAAATCTAATTCTTTGGAACCTTATGAATACCATGATGTACCATACCAATTGTGAGATAACTGTTTATATTGTCATGTGTAGAGTGGTACGCATGGAGAATAATTGTGGGTTCTAGTTCAGAAGTTTGGATTTATTAGCACCTTGGTTACGATCTCTCTTCATTATGGTCAACATAGCGCTATTGCTGACACACACACACACGCGCACACACACACACAGGTACTCTCCTGCTACCACAACTAAAACGCAGGAACTATAACAGTCTCACTGAATCACACACTCCAACTATTACACATGACTGAAGCTCTCTAATCATGCATCATATCTTCACAGGTCAAGGAACTTTCCATGGCTATCCTCTACCGAGAGCTCAGAACTCAGAACTGAATTGTAGCACCATTTGTTTTTAAGAGAACTCCTTTGCACAAACCACCATAGAAAACAGTGTCTCCCATTGTTGTGGATGCATTTTTACTGCTGTGGCCGTGCTTTTGCTAGATGTGGACCCCATAGAACACACCTGTATTCATGTTTACAAAGCTGTTGCCTGGCAACACATTGATCAAATCTGTTACAATATTTCCAAACGACCTTAGTTTACACTGATAAGGAAATCTCTTCATTTTATGATTATATGAATAATACATGTACACCTTTCAGACAAGAGAATATTTGGACCGAAGAGGGATGAAGTGACAGGAGGTTGGAGAAAACTGCATAATGAGGAGCTTCACAACTTGTACTCTTCTCCAAGTAAAATTAGAATGACCAAATCAAGAAGGATTAGATTGGAAGGGCATGTAGCACGAATGGGGGAGAAGAGGAATGTATATAGGATACTGGTGGCAAAGGCAGAAGGGAAGAGACCACTGGGAGGACCAAGGTGTATGTGGATGACAAATATTATGATGGATCTTTGAGAGAGAGGATGGGATGGTATGGAGTGGATTGATCTGGCTCAGGATAGGGACCAGTTGAGGGGTCTTGTGAACATGGTGATGAACCTTCGGGTTCCATAAAATGCTGGGAAGTTCTTGAGTAGCTGCACAATTGGCAGCTTCTCAAGAAGGGCTCAGCTCCATGAGTGAGTTGGTGGGCAGGCACTTGCTTCAAGACATCGCCATAAAGTGTAACATTTTACCTCAAAGTAGTCATAGCCCTGAAGGTATTTACAAGGTTCCAGTAGGCTGGCGTTCAGCTGTACTGGCTGGGGGCATGGATCACCCTTCACCCAGAAGAAGACATGCTTCTGTAATTCACTGGGTTTGATGTCTGTGCTATTTACAATCACATCATACAGCCTCACTTGCCGAATTTCCTCTATCTCTTCATCTGTGAAAATCCTAGATGCATAAAAAATTATTAACAAAGTATAGAGACTGGGAGAATGGTATATGGTTCATCTTAAGTGTGTATTCATGCAGAGGGCAGCGAAGTACAGCCACGGTCAATTCTTTATAAAAAAAAATAAGGTAGTGTCAAATAAATATGAGAATGATTCTGAACCTTTAATATGAACATGTTTTTATATAAATCTCAGCCCACAATATCAAACTTAACATGACCACCATACACCCCTGACATTTTGTGGGAGATTCTGTAGAACTGAATGCATCACAGCCAGTACTGACAACAAAGCTACAATAGCTATTCATTTGCAATCACATGGGTTTGACATTCCCACACAGAAAATATTTCTATAAAAACCTATATAAATTTCTGAACTGTCCAATGTCTTCTGAAATATTTATGCTGTAAGAATTAATGAAAATACATGCATTTGAATATCATAATTTAGTTTGAAGTAATTATAAGGGAATTAGAAGCATGGGAGTATGGAACTACTGCATGTGGTCATCTCTGAACGAAATGAATGATGCTCTCTGCCTCATGTTTACAGTCAACAACACAATTTAGTGACGGCTACTCAGAGAAAGGGATGAGCTGCCTGCCAGTTCTGTCCCTAATAAAATGCTTATAATAGCGTGTTTCAAACGAACATGTCAATTGTTAATAAAAGTGGTAAACTGTAAACCATCATGAGTTCTTTGAGTGCTTCCGTAAGTCTGAGGAACATAGTACATTTCTTTCAGCAAAATGGCTTCCTTTCCTGCCATATATCTGAGTGATACAATACCATGTATTGGATTTAAACTATGAACATATATATTTTAGTCTCTTCATCACCAAAATATTTTTTCTCCCATAACCAAGCAGCAACATGCCTAATGGCCAGCTTTTCTGCTTTATATTGTTGTGGCTATCAGTCTGGGGATGGAATCTCCCCTGAAGAGACTCACCCACTCTCAGTGTTCTCAAACCAGAATCGATCTGCATCACGTATGCGTGTGAACTGTTCCTTGATGATGGCTCTGAACAGCTCCCCGGGTCCATCTCTCGATTCAAGCATACCCCCAACATATAAGTCCACATTGTCCAATCGATTGGCATAAACTCCAGCAAGAAGCCGTAGCAATTCTGGTCGCTTCTTGAAGAGGGTTGGGTTTATCTCTGTCCATTCTTTTACTCGGGGCAGGCGGAAGTATGACCTTTACGAAGTAGAATGCATAAATTAGGACAAATACTCTAACCCTTTCCTTGGCGTACTACATTCCACTGTAACATTTGAAAACATTTTATATATTTATGTTGCTAGTATATTCAGGTATTCAAAAAAATTACTATATACATATTGTGACTACCAGTGGCTCTACAACCCTAATCCAATAAGTCTGAACTCAATATACCACCATCATCACTGTGACAATGTAGCACCCATTATGCATGGAGGAAAACAGATAAACCAAATTATTTTTGAGGTCCATGATACACTGAGTGCTCTGATATGAAACTGGACCCTGAGACAATAATGGAGCCCATAGAATCTGTGTGTCTTTACATTCTTCAACAGTTTTTAAACACAATTAATTTCACAAATGTTAATGATGTAATAATTTAATTTATTTATTTCTAAAATTCCATTGATCCAATCTGGGCTACAAATATGCCTGATGGATATAGAACCAGTCACAGACAAGTAACTAAAATACACATGCTATGAAAATAAGCATAGGTCAGATCAAACAATAAACCAAACTGTTTATCTTCCTACTTTAACATTATTAAACATAACATCATCTTAAATTTAATATTGTAAAAAATCATCACACAAAAAGGTAGATGATAACATAGTTATGCCAAAATAAAGCATCTATGATACATAAAACCTTAAAAATTCACGTTAAAATTAGTAATTACTATAAAAATAATCCGTCAGTGGATAAAAAGAATTCAATAGAAGGTAGTTTTTTAGAGTATTTTTAAATTGATTCTAATCATCCGGCAATTTCTTTATGCAAGGAGGTAAGTGATCAAATGCCTTTCTACCCATATAATAAACACCATTTTTATAGATAGACAACCTTCGTTGTGAAGGGTAAAAACTATTTTTACCTCTGGTGTTGATATCATATAACTCTAAATTTGTTTTAAATAAGGAGATATTATCAATTACAAAAATTTTTACTGAGAATAAAACGGTAATATATCTAGTTTCCTAAACTCCCTACGGGAATCCCTGTTTCTGGAATTTGTTATAATTCTTGTGGCCTTTTTTTGTAGTTTAAATATATACTGTAAGGGGAATTCCCCCAGAAGATTATACTATATGACATAACTGCTCTAAAATAAGAACAGTAAATCATCCTTAGTGATTCATGGGACACAAAGGGTCTTAAAGACCTAATAGCATAACATGCCTTGCTTAATTTAACCATAAATCCATCAATATGATGCTTCCGTGACAGGGAGCTATCAACAGTAATACCTAGAAACCGAGTATTTGTATTGGTTTTTTTTTTCTTGGCACTACAGCCCCAGTGGGCCTAGGCCTACCTCCATGAATTCCGTTCACTTCGGTTTTTCTAGATCTTACACTTATGGTAGGACTCCTTGGGCGAGTGATCAGCTCGTCGCAAGGCCTCTACCTGTAGACAAACACAGAAAAATGCACACAAACATCCATGCCCTGAGTGGGATTCGAACCCACGATCCCAGCTTCCGAGCGAGCGAAGACGGATTTGTATTGTTAATAATATATTTATTATTATAACTGATATCTAATTGAATTGTTTGGTTATTAGTGGTTCTAAATTGTATATACTGAGATTTGTTATAATTTAGTGACAACAAATTGATATTAAACCATTCATTCAACTGTCTGAAAGAGGAAATAATATCTTTTTTTTTTTAATTTACTAAATTAGGATTACTAACAATTATGCTGGTATCATCAGCAAACATGACTGGCTTAGAGTTACAATTTAACTACTTTAGGTAGGTCATTTATGTACAAAAGAAAAAGCATTGGTCCAAGCACAGATCCCTGGGGCACTCCATGTTTACTCTTCCCCCATTCTAAAGAAGCATAAGAATGTGTTAATTTATCAGCAATGAGGACTCGCTGATACCTATCACTGAGATATGATTTGATTAGAGCATATGCATTGCCTACATTTCCTTAGAATTTCAGTTTCTTCATTAATAAGTCGTGATTAGCGCAATCGAAGGCTTTCTCGAGGTCACAAAAAATACCTCCCACTTATGCCTTATCATTTAAGGCCTGTAAAATATAATTTAGAAGTTTAAACGTTGCCTTTCCTGTTGAGGAATTGCTTCTAAACCCAAACTGTTCACTAGACAATATCTCATATTATAATAAACAACAAGAATCAAATTCCTACGACAGTTTACATCAGGGACAATATCACAATTATACATAAAAAGTTACAGAAATAATATATTGGTATATACCTACATACACAGATTAACATACACACTCTTCAGTTTGTGTATATCCATTTATCCCTACAAACCCAAAGATTATACATTAAAAGATTGCTGCAATGCTGTATTTTTCCTGTAATCTATAAGTAATCATGCATAAGTGGTATATCTCTGTCAATGCTTCAAGTAAAAAAGGAAAGCTATCCCTGTAAGAGGCCGTGAAGGCCCATAGGGCTATGAGACATTGAGGGTCCCACATTATCTAGACCAAGGGTCTCCAAACTACGGCCCACGGGCCACATGCGGCCTGCGATGTGATTTTATCCAGCCCACGAAAGAATTGTGCAGAAACGTGCCAATTGAACTAATTTTCCAGTGAGTACTGGTAAATGTGATTCCAAGCTTATTGACCTGACATATTATACTGCAGTTCGATGGCTTAGCTGTGAAAAGGTTATTTCGCGCTTCTTTCAGATCAGGAATGAAATTGACATATTTCTTACCGAGAAAAACCATCACGAACCACTTTTATCAGATACCAAGTGGCTTTGGAAATTAGCAGTTTTGCTGATCTGGTAAACCATATGAACAATTTGAATTTAAAGTTGCAGGGTGAAAATAACTTAGTCTGTGATTTATTTGCACTTATCAAGGCATTCAGAGCAAAGTTGATACTTCTGGAAAGGCAAGTGAAAAATTGTAACTTTGTTCATATGCTATACTGTGCAGAGTTGCATAAAAAGGGTGAAGCAGAATTTCCTTCCTCGTTTGCAAATTTAGTCATTTTAGATTTGAAAGAACAATTTCGGAAGCGATTTGCTGATTTGGATTCCAGTGCTCAGGAAATTAGATTGTTTCAAAATCCGTTTGACTGTGATGCTGCAGATGTCCCAAGTCAAATTCAAATGGAAATTATTGAACTTCAGGAAAATTATCATATTAAAGACAAATACAAGGAAGGAAATTTGATCGAATTTTATAAATTTCTGAACTCTGAGCAATTTCCAAATTTAAAGAAATTTGCTTGTAAATTTATCTCCATTTTTGGGACGACATATCTGTGTGAACAAACTTTTTCCCAGATGAAGTACATCAAGTCGAAATACAGGGCAGATTTATCCGACGAACATTTAAAGTCACTACTTGTGATTAGCATTTCAAAATTTGAACCTCAATTTAATCAGATTTTAAGAATGCAAAAAGAGTTCCATCATTCACATTAATTGTTTTAATATAATTTGTGATGAAAATATGAGCATTTGCTGCTACTGTCCGATGTCATTAATATACGATAATTTATTCTCACGTACTTTGTATTTAGTTTATGAAATTCTTTGCTTTCAATAAAACTCATATACCTAGAGTTATAAATTTCTCATTTTATCTGGCCCATTGAAAGTGCTGAATTACCTAATGTGGCCCGCGGTTCGAAAAGTTTGGAGACCCCTGATCTAGACAATTGGCTCAAAGATGGCAGTAAGGTTGTCAGCCTTATGTGCCAGCCGCACTTTACTCCCCAGGAAAATTTTTTAATTAATTCCTGGTACTAATTTCTGTTAGAGGCTGAGTAGACCCCAGAGCCATAGTGCGGCTGGAAGGATTAGGTCAATTGAAAAAATGCAACGACCTCATTGGGACTTGAACCCTTGACCTTCCGGCTTGTAACATAGCCCCTCAACCAACTATGCTACTTCAAACCAATTGCAATTCCTAATTGACTCAAAGTGTCTCCTGGCCACACATTCTAGTCCCAAGGAACTGCATGCCAGAATGGTTCCATCTCTGTAGGGAGGGTCAGGGATGAAGATCACAACATTTCTCTTTCCAAAAAGTGCATGAAGAAGAGTTGCACCTAAGAGTGAAGATCATGTTGGTGTTGAGCTGAAGGTCTGTCAAATTCATTGAACACATCCTGCAATTTTGAACTGCTACACGAAACTGGTCTCATCAGCAAATACAAGTAAATCATACTTCATAAAGGTAAAGGTAAAGTTGTCCCTGTGCTTAATTAAGCACCATGACATGAAGACATTGCAAGAGTGGAGGTACAGCTCCAATATTCTTGACCTTGGCACTAGATGGAGGTGAGTGGCCAGCTTACTGCCCTGGTTGTCTTACCTCTGGGGAAATAGCCTCCAGCACCCCCACTGGATAAGAGGCTGGATGGGCCCCAGAGCCAGTCTGGACATTATGGAGAAGAGAAACATATCTTATCCCTGCCAGGATAAACCCTGTCCACCCAACCTGTAGCTTGTCACTACACTGACTGAGCTATCCCAGTTTCTAACTCATATCTCATGGTTTACTTACTTACTTACTCATGGGTCTCAGCCCTTCTGGAGGAGCTGCCAATTCTGCATGTACTCAAGAATTTCCCAGCATTTTATGGAACCCAAAGGTTCATTACCGTGTTCACAAGAGCCCTCTACTGGTCCCTATCCTGAGCCCGAACAATCAAATCCATACCATCCCATCCTACCTCTCTAAGATCCATTTTAATATTGTCCACTCACCTACACCTTCATATCTCATGGTTATGGCAAATAGTGTTATCATAATGCTTGCACTCTTAAGCGTGGTGAACAGCATTAAAGAAGGCAAGAAAGTTAGCCAAATGCCTGCCATGCGAGTGTACAGGGAGTGATCACCTTTGATTTATCCCCACTACCCATAGGGAGAGAGGCTGGGCGTGTTCTAGAAGCAGTGCAGACTTGGTAAAGAAGACAAAAAGCGTACCTACATCAGGAATGACACCATTGTGGCTAGCCTCACTGAGGTATCTAGGCATCTGCAAGAAGAACACATACCTCACGGTGTTGTAATCTGGCAGACCGTTATCCCGACCCCTCATTATGTTCAAAGCTCCTAGATCTCTCCTTGAGAACTCCATTGGGCCAAATAATTTATCGCGCACATCGGAGCACAGCACCGTGTCCTCCCGCTCTGCAATCTGAGAAGACATCCCCAACAGCAGCTCTTCAACTGTACTGTCCGACAGCACATCCTGAGAACAAGCAGAGTATGCACATGTCTGTCTGCTTTGCTCTCTTCTCTAGATGCTCTCAACAATTAAGACCAATTAATAATAGTGATATCCTTAACAAATTCATAAGTGAAAGTCATTCTTTGTAGCATAAGCAGTCCTCGTTTTCATTGTGTTCATCATTACATGTTTCACATACACTGGAGTCCCACCAGGTGGAACAGAGACGAAGGGCACGGAAGCCCATGGGTGTTTCCCTGAAGTGACAGGACCCATCCCGACGGTAGATCCCAGGTGGTATCATTGTGTGTCCAAACCTGAAAGCTGCACTCTGAAACACATGGCTCACTCCAGGGTGAACATCCGGTTTGTAGCCCTCATATGGTGGCAGGCCTTCCCCCATGAAGGCAGGCAGGTACTCATAAGCAATGATATTCTGTTAAGAGACATGCATAGGTGTCAATCATCTGCTCTAACATATATCCACAATGATATGATAGCTAAAAGATGCTTTTGAAATGTGGCACAGTTAAAATATTTGGGAACAACAGTAATGAATCAAAATTTGATTAAGGTGGAAATAAAGGGGAGACTGAACTCGCGTAATGCTTGCTACCATTCCGTATAGAACCTTCGTCTTCTCGTCTGCTGTCTAAAAACGTACAAATTAGATACACAAAACTACAATTTTGCCTGTTATTTGTTTATGGGTGTGAAACTTAGTCAGAAATTAAGGGAGGAACATGGACTGAGGGTGTTCGAGAATAGGGTGCTGAAGAAATTGGACCAAAGAAAGATGAAGTGATGGGAGGTTGGAGAAGACTGCATTATGAGGAGCTACATCATTTGTACGCCAAGTATAATCCGAACGATCAAGACAAGGAGGATGAGATGGGCAGGTTATGTAGCATGAATGAGGGAGAAGAGGAATGCATAGGGGATATTGGTGGGAAAGAGACCACTGGGAAGACCACGATGTAGGTGGGTGGACAATATTAAAATGGGTCTTGGAGATATAGGATAGGATGGTATGGATTTGATTGATCTGGTTCCGGATAGGGACCAGTGGAGGGCTCTTGTAAACATAATAGTGAATCTTCGGGTTGCATGAAATGCTGGGAAGGTCTTGAGTACCTGCGCAATTGGCGGCTTCTGCTACATAAATGGGGAGAAGAGGAATGCATGTAGGATAGTGGCAGAAAAGCCAGAAGGAAAGAAAGAAAGAAAGAAAGAAAGACCACTAGGAAGACCAAGACATATGTGGGGATGAATAATAATATTAAAATTGATCTTAGAGAGATATAATGGGGTGGTATGGACTGGGATAGGGACCAGTGAGGGCTCTTGTGAACATGGTAATGACCATCATACCATGCTTGGGAGGTTCTTGAATAGTTGCACAACTGGCAGCTTCTCTTGAAGCATTAATCTCCATGAAGTCAGTCAGTCAGTTAGTTAGTTAGTTTGGTATGTTTTGTATTCCTGTTATAAAACTCAAGATGGTTACTCAACTTTTATTTTATAAGACAATTTAATTACTGTAACAAAACCATACTTACAGTGCCAGATTACATATTCAAAAGCAGCTTGAAATCTTTGGCATGACATACGAGTAAAGAGCGCATTTGTTTTTACTGTATTTAGTTACAAAAGAAAGACTAGGTAATGAAACTGTAAACAGCTGTTTGAATAGCATATCATATTATCAATTTACATAATGAAGTACAGAATCTGTTTGCAAATATTTAATATTGCCTACCCCTACTGCATTCAAGCATTCCTTAATGGTCAACACAAAACTACGTCCATCATTCATCATAATTTATATAACACAGCAGAAAAACTGAAGTGAAGACAAGTAGTTTCCTAGCTGACAACCTCTGCTCCTCTTCATCCACTCTGTTTTTCACTCATATTTATACATTATGATGGAAACACACCAGCAATGACATCAGAACTTACATCACCGCTTCAGTAACAAAAGCCATTTGACTTGAAATGTCTCTGCATAAACTTTGTTACTCCACTGACAGACATCATTAAACAGGAGGCATCAAGGAGTACCTGGAGTGTAGCCACCACAGTACGGCGAGTTCGCTGAAACACTTCCTCGTCAGGCCAGTCTGGATGTTGTGCCTGTATACGTGCTGCCACCACATTGTGCCACCGGAAGAACAGGATCCCAAATGCCAGAAGAGCAGGGTTCTGGTTAGTGCGAGGATCCCCTAGTACTTCAGAGAGAAATTCATACCATTACATTGTATTGCTTTCCATGAATCCAAAGTTAGTCAAAATGACTGTAGGATGTGGAATATGTCATATAAATACAAAACATATGTACAGTACCGATGGAGTTCTCACACAAGAGAAACCAAGAGTACACAGTGACTACACACAAGGCTATATAAAGATACATAAGTTATTTTCCAGACAACAGGTATTCACAACAGAGTAGAGTGAATGTGTATTTAAGTATCGTTTCAGTGCTATTTTAAATCGTGCTTTTTCATTCATAAGGCCTTTGAGATCAGAAGGCAAGCTATTAAAAATTTTGATCCCATCATAATATGTGCTTTTCTGAAAGCATGAGAGGTTAGCAATTGGTTTATGAAGACAGTGTTTGTGTCTTGTGCTAACACTGTGTACATCCACATTCTTCTGAAGAAGTTCTTCGTCATGTGTAATGAAGTTTATTAATGAATACATATATTCACAAGGAAAAGTTATCATCAAACTCAACTGTATTTTTAATCACAGACATAAAATTAAAGTAATGAAGAAAACTTGCTATTAAACAAAGTAACTTTTAAACAAATGAGTATATGTTTATCATGAAAAACGTCTCTAAAAATTATGTTATTTATTCATAAATAATTAGACATAGTACAATGCTGTGACTAACTAGGTCTCATGCTCTTCATAAGTCATACAAGTAAATTGATCAATTGGCAGGACAGAACTCAACACTCACACTAACCATGGTTAGTTTGCTTGTAGGTAACTTACAGAACAGTCTCTCAGGGTTCATCAGTCGAAGCACGTGAGGGGCAGGGGAGTTGAAAAGAGGCACTCTCATTGTATTTCTGACTGGAAGCTTTCCAGTTTTGTCTGTCAGAAATGTCCCATTTTGGAAAGAGCGCATTGCGTTTACCCATGCTTCACTTGTACTGTAGATGAAACTCCCATCAATCCAGGCGGTCACACGATTGGTCTGCAACAAAACATATAACAACATGAATTGCAATTTGTTGAGCTCTGAATATCAGTCTCTAAAATGCAAATTCATGCAGTGATAAGACCAAAAAAGTATTATGCATGGTGAATGGTGAACAGGAAGAGAGAGAAAATGGGGCATGATATATCTTGGTACAGTATCAACATTCATTTGTAATGACTGAGCAAAACCAAGAAACACCTCAGCTGGGATGGCTGAGAAACGAACCAATTTTCTCTCAGGTTCACTGCCACTGTTTCATAACAAATATGGCCACTTATGCAACCTGCAATCACAACAGATCGCTTTTACCTAACCACATAGTCTAGAATTGTATTTTAAAAATACATGGTTTGAGTCTCAGCTGGGTTACTGGATATCTTGACTGAATGAGCCATTTTGTGGTTCCCCCTTACTCTGTAAACATTCTAGATAATCTTTCAATTTATTCCACATAACAACCAATGAATAACTTAGAAATTTGTAGAAGTCCCATCCATGGCCATATGCAATATCATGCAATCAAACCATAGAAGGTGAATTTTAAGCACCAACTTGAAAGCATTTAGCTTATGTTTTTTTGGATTTTACAGGTTCACTTTTCATTTGTGTGCTTGTGTTCCAGAGATCTGATCATTGCAGGGCACAATATATTTGCATGCTTGTGTTCCAGGGATCTGATCATTGCAGGGCACAATATATTTGTATGCTTGTGTTTCAGGGATCTGATCATTGCAGGGCACAATATATTTGCATGCTTGTGTTCCAGAGATCTGATCATTGCAGGGCACAATATATTTGTATCACTGTATGGGGGTGGGTTCTTCATGACAAGGCCTGCTCATAGCTACATACAGTATGATGTATAACCTGTCACTGGTTCAAAGTTGAACAGCCCTTTTGGAACTAATCATAAAAATGCCTCCACAATTCTGATTTGTTGTGTCGTATCTTACAAAATTATATTCTAGTTTTCATTTTAGACTGGTGACTTAAGAAGTTCATCACTGAAGGAATGTACAGAATTGGTGTAGGAAAAGTTGTTAGAGGGCAGAATTTCAAGCAGGAATGAAAAGCTTGAAAGATAATATTAAAATGGGGTTTAGAGAACAAACATGTTCTCAGGATATGAACTGGCAACACAGGGCTCAGTATACAATCCAATTATGTGCTCTGCCATTAGAAGTGTTCAACCTCCTACTTCTGTCCGTGAAAACCAAGACTTAGTCACATTTGAATTACTGACCTGTTCTCGTGGACTGTTGGGGCTCTGGCCAGTCTTACGATCATAACCTGCTCTGTGGAATGGTATATACTTGTTCCCCTGACACTCTCGATCATACATCTCGTCACACTTCTCAATCTCTATCCGGTGCACCTCGATAGGACAACCACTCTCGCTTGCCATTAACACCTCGGAACTCACCACTTGTCCTGTTATGGGATACGAACATTACCGTTAACACAGCTGTCACTGAAACCCTGCACACATAAGTCTGAAGTAAAATTCAACTAGGTATTTCACAATTAACTGACTGATCCCACGCAGCAACTGTGTGTTATTTGGTTGAGGTAGACGAACTTTCACAACACCAGAATGTGTCCTACACCTGTGTTCACCGTTTCCATATGTTTAACCTTAAGACAGCACTTCAGCCTTGACAAAAGTGAAATCTTTATTTATTATGATAATATTCACTCTTCTTTGTGCTGTGTGCATGATGGGAAGATCCCCAACAGATACAGAACATTTTGGTGGGGAATCTCTTGGGCAAAAATCGCATGGAAGACAGAGATAGATCCACAGAAATAGGCTGTGAGAAGAGATGGTTGGAAATAATTCAGGGCTCTGTTGAAAGATAGGCTTTGATATTCTAAGAGTCAAACTTTGAGACTCTGCTACAAGAGTTATGCTTTAAGTTAAATTTTATCTTTTTATTACCAGAGTGACTATTAATTTCATGGCTGTCACAGACATTAACTGAGACAATGTGAATTGCAGCATACAGAGATTTCTCTGCCCTGTTGTGTCTGAGCAGGATTCCAAGGTACAGAATCTCCCTTGTAGTGGAACCTGACAGTCCATTATCCACCATCATCATCATCATCATCATCACAAGAGTCCATTATCGACCTTACCACACGGAAGTTCATATTTTCATGAACTGTTTCTCTAAAAATCTAGTTTAATATTGTCTCATCCACATATGAGCCCCTCACACCTGTGAATGCAGTTCTTGTTTCTCCAATGATGTCAAATATAACACCATACATTACCAAAAAATGCAAGTAGGGCTGTTCTGTTCCTGGAAGAACTAAGGCCATCCTCTCCCTTCATGAAAATCTGGCTAAGTTTTCGTGGACTGGGACGATTCTGGCCTGCCAACATGTAGACACCATCTGCGTAAGATGGAGGCGTCTTGCGGGTCAGGTGGTTGTCTGCAAACATTGCGCCCGTTTTGTGTATTTCAAATCATATGTGAATGGGAAATAAAATAACTAGGACATGATGCATTCCTTTGAAGGCTCATGTTCATCTAAATAATACTTAAAAATTCAGTTTCTATAGCACAAAAGTACACTGAATCTCAATTACAAAGGCCAGCTGGTTAATGCTGCTGACTGCAAGACTCCTATAAAACACATAAATACACTGTGTGGGTAAAATGCTGAGTTTTCAAATGTTAAAGAGAGGGGTACATATAGTAACCATTGTGCTTTAAAGAACTATACTGGGGTGATGAAGAAACAGAAAGATGCAAGATGCAGATGTAATGAAGCCATGTTATGAAGATGCAACAGCGTAACTCCATACAATGAGTTCTTGAATTTTAAAATTATGTACTTTCACTGGTGATATTTAGGATGATCATTTTGATTGGTCCATATTAAGTGGATCCCCCAGAATCACATGTCATAATTACACAGATATTAATAATTACTCAATATGCATGTGATTAATTCAAGATTAATTAAACACTGTAAGAAAGTTTCATGAGCCCGCAACTTCATGAAAATGAACAATACAATTAAGTGATCTACACAATTTGTAGCATCTCACATGATGGCAAACAGCGCTGTTTTGCCACACTGCATACAATGTGAGGGCCTGTGGAACACTAACAGTGCGAAGCACAGTGGGTTAACATTTGGACAATTGACACAGTCACAGTATTGTGATGGTGAAGGACACTACACAAACTGCACGTCTTCCAGTGCGAAACAGAGTAGGATCTGTTCAAGTCAAGAGAGGTACAACCACCAGACCATGAAACATTCACTTCCTATGGAAGCACAGACACAAAATAAGACAAAAAAATAAGTCTGTGCATAATGGAAATTGTTTTAAAGAACATCAATGAAATAAAAGAAAATAAACAGAACAATAGGCAATTCAGTAGAACTGCTGTAAGTTTAAACAAAGATCAGGACTACAAAACAATTGGAAGGAATCATTGATAATCCTGAAATGTATGCTATTTGTTCTTCATCAGCTGGGAGACCTGGCACATGCCCAAGAACCACTGACAAGCTAACAGTCAGTCAGTCAGCAGTATCACTGAAGGTTCATTACCATGTTCACATCAGCCCCATCACTGGCTCCTATACTGAACCAAAAGAATCCAGTTCACACCCTTGCAAGACTCATTTCAACACAATGTTCCCATTCATGCCTAGATCTGTCCTAGATTTGATGACTGAACTTTTCTGGACAAGTCTCATCTCTCATGTGCATCACATTTTCTTGAATTTAATACGTAAGGTCCACTCCATGAATCATTATCAGTTCAGATGCAATTTCATCAGTACCACTTATTCAGTTAACCCGGATATACTGCTCTATTTGCTCCTTAACCTCAACAAATAATTGTGTAGCAACTTACACAAATGACACACAGTACTAAACATTTGGCTTGTCAAGTACAAATAAATCTGGAATTTTACTTTCCTGGGAAAACTATGTTTACATGAAACATGAATTAGTAATCAAAGGCACAAGGACACTGTGCCTACAAACCAGACAAGCACTGCGCCATTATGGCACCGTTGGTTTCTCAGATCACTGTTGCACTCCACAAAATGTAATTATCACAGCAGTATTTGTGCTTTCACTAATTACTCGTCTGTTTAAGAGAACAACTTCTCAATTTTTACAAGACTACTGGACTCCTTGCTAGTAGTTACTATAGGATTCTGACGATGGTGTATAACACACTGATATATTGGGTTTCTGGACTTTATCCATCGTCCTGGTTTTTAAGATAACAAATAAAAACCCAGCGTTTCAGAAACTGGATCTGTTTCCATCCTCAGTGGACGAATCCAGTGATTGAGGCTAGCTCTTTCTAACGGACCCAACAGAATAGGTGTTCCCTTTTCCTTCACCTGAGGACAGAAACAGATCCAGTTTCCAAAATGTCATGTTTTTATTTGTTATCTTAAAAACCAGGACGATGGATAAAGTCCAGAAACCCAATATATCAATATCCTTGCTAATATTATATATATATTATATTATATATTATATTATATTATATAATAATCCTATTATTCAGTGTGACATAATCCAAACCGTTGAAGCATCATACAGTAAACCCAAACATGGACCAGCATCTCAAGATGTTTCCTGCTACTGGATGTCACACCATCAGCTTCCTTCCATAATAAAACACACGAAGCTCCTCCTCAGGTCATATTCCTTCTCCTGACAATCTCCCTGTTCTCCTGCCAGGTGCCCCTCTACCAATATACTTTCACAAATTTTTTCTCCTGACATGACCTGGGGGGAGCCATACAAACTGAAACAGACTATACAAAAAACATTTTCCCAAAAGCAAAGGGCCATAGCATCGCAACACAGTTGTAGTATTTTGTGAGTTATCTTTGATACTACAATCTCACACACACAAAAATTCACCATTAAGATCTTTTTCTCCAAAGAAAGGCCGAGGGGACTTGCGGACCACAGTTTGGGAATCAATGAGATGACGTAAACACACTTGTCATAGTGTAAGTACATCACTATTACTCTGAAACGCAATGTGCCTTATGTAAACGTCATACAAATAGAAAGGCGTTCCTACTGTGACGAACAGTGAAAGTTCAGACTTGACAATTGAACCCGTTTGCGCGCGCAACTGCTGCCTTGTGTGCCTCAACCTGGACAGGGGACAGGTCCTAGCAACCTTTGGTGCCGCATTTGCTGTCATCACGACGGTCACCGTGAGCAGTACTGTCTTCTGGTATATAACACCTTGCAGTCCGGTAGGATTTCGGAGGAATGTACGGCCTCCATTTTCACGGTCGAAGGGTAAGGCAAAGAAGCAACCAGAAAAGTATAAGCAGCGGGTACGTCACTCCGAAACGTCGGTGAACGCGACGTCAAACCCCAGAAGCTGGTAACCTTCTCTCTTCACGGTATATTTAACAGCGCTCTCAGCAGGTCAGAGTACATAGCGTCGAATGAGTGAACAATAGACTGAAGAGGATGTAAAACAGAAGGAAGTGGTCGCGGCCTATATGAAACCTAGCCGAAATGTGAAGCGGGGATCTCCCGAATGAGAAGCAGGTGCGACTGGGTGCGAGTCTCCTACAGCTGCTGTAATTAATTAGGGCGGGGGCACACCAAGGAAACTGGCAACCGCAACGCAACCGCAATTTCCGAGAACTGTTATCAGCCTGAGTTGAACACATGAAACTGAACGGAGCAGCGCAAATTGAAGAAACGGCAAAGCAACTCGGCGGAAGGCTCAGAAACTCAACTTCCAGGCAACGGAGCAAGCCAGTCTTCTCACAACTGCGTTGCAGCGTGGTTTCCTAGTGGCAGCTGTTGTATAACGCGTTTCAATGATTCATTTGTTTCTTAAGATGGCACGAAAGGTTGACGAAGCTGCTAATTTTGCTTCTGTGCAGTTCTGTGCAGCAAGAGCCTGGTATATATGGCAAACGCCACCCCAGACTGTGCTAGACGGGACAAAATAGATTTGGCTTGGGAAAGAATTTCTCATGAGACGAAGGAGTCTGGTATGTGTGTGTATATATATATATATAAAGTAAAGGTATCCATGTAACAGGTCGTGGAGGCCCATAGGGTTGTGAGATGTTGATGCTCCCACATTTTTTCTAGACAATTGGCTCACAGATGGCTGCAAGGTTGTCAGCCTTACGCGCCGGCCGCGCTTTACCCCCAAGAATATTCATTTCTGTCATAGGCTAAGTCGACCCCAGGGACATAGTGCGGCTGGAAGGATTAGGTCAATTAAAAAAATCCAATGACCTCATCGGAACTTGAACCCGTGACCTGCCGGCTTGTAGCATAGTGCCTCAACCAACTACGCTACCGCAACTTATAATAGGATCCAAATACGGAACATGCCTGCTAAAGCAATGCAAACAGCTACTGCAATATGACCCGTACTGCGATACAAGCCAGCAGCTAGGTTCGTCTTCATCCTCTACAATTATCAGTAACTCCAGTGAGACGGAATTGCTCCTGCTGGTGTTAAGAAATAATATGTCAGCTGATTTCGCACGCGGTGCCCTCGATAATCTTGCCTTCCAACGTCATCATCGTCTAAAATTGATGACTTCATTGATTTACTACATAATTTTCAGCTCCTTCGCAAAACAGCCGTTCCCCGGTTCTGATGAAGTTGCGGAGGACAGACTGTACCGATCTGAAATGGCGGCAGGGAACTGGCGCACAAACACACCCACTTGTGACGTGAGCAACTAAATAAACGTGAGTTTCCTCAGTGTGCGCCCGCTAATCTGGAAACCAGTTGCCTGCTGGAAATCGGCGATTTTTGTCGGAAATTGCGGTTGCGTTGCAGTTGTCAGTTTCCTTGGAGTGCCGTCGCCCTTACATCTCCCATCGCGGTGCCGCGCGGCGCGGCCTTGCTCTGGCCTTGTGGCGATATCGGGTTAATGTCAGGCGAGTTCTCAATGAGTGAGAGACCATTGCTCCAGCGACACATTCCCTACATGAAATGAACGCTCGAAGTGGAGGATCCACATTTTAAACCACACAGTCATATGCGTTCATGCAGTGGCGCGCCTGAGACACTATACCGTAGCTTACCCCTGGTGAGGTGTATTCTTCTAGCGAAGTGTATCACTGAGCCGAGAGTAGCTTCTGCCAACAGCAGACTTGTATCTCGGGCCGCAATATAACAATGCGACGTACCCAAATGTGCAGCTGCCCGGTGCCGTGCGTCCCAACATGCCACAGGGACACAGGCGCCGCGCCTTCACGTATTCTCAGGAGAGCGTGGAGTCTAAATATTTTGGCACAGAAAACACGGCCCTGTGGTCGCGTTGAATCTGCAGCTAAAACAGCCCAAAAAACTGACGTCACTGAGTGCTTCTGCTATCCGACCGCCTTGTTTCAAGGCGGGTTACTGGCGTCGCGACGCGTGAAACGCATCCCAACGTTCCTA